AACAATTTATTAGTTGACAAATTTTTTACATCTTTATTAGGAACCGAGATAAATGGGCTCAAAGTTGAAAGTCAGGGGGCACTTCTATTACAGGTTTTACGGTATTTTAAACCAATGAAATTGTTTTCAATTAACCTGTAGCTGATATCTTTCCGATAACGAATGCATAGCCTTATTCACAAATTCATTCACTTGTCGTCTTTGGTTGGATTGCAGCAATACTGTAATCTGATTTTAATTTTTGGAAAAAAGACTGACAAACCAATAAAATAAACCAAAGTTATGACTTCCAGTGCTGACATGAAGCATAATGAGAAAACAGATGTTCTCGGGTGGGATATATAGGCGGTACAGTAATGAACGTATCCCGGATCAGAACGGAGGAGAACCGAACAAATCGCTACGATAATGCAAATGACCCATTGGCCAGCTATCAGTATTACCCCAACTTTTCTAGATCCATGAGCCTGGAAATTTTTTTAGAAACTTTACAAACTGTTGTGCGGAAACTCCACATACCTCATAAGTTTTATACTTCAAAGTGGCGATAGTTCGTTCAATGGCAAGAACAATGATTCCACAAAGTGTCGCATAAATAGAAAGGACCACTGGAAATCGAAGTATTGCACATTTTCTGGCTTCATACATTGAATCACATGGATTTTCAGCAGTGAGAGTGAGTGCGAGACTGGAATTGATTGTGAATGAAAAATATTCAAGTTCGGAGAACTTACTGATAAAATGCAATAAAATCCAGTTGAAGACAAGCGACGAGAGCTGCAAATGCAAGGGAGGCAAGTGAGATTCGAAGGTTTCGATGCAAATTTCTGGATGAAGAATTCAAAAGAACGTAGATGAAGAGAGATGAAGAGATTGCACCGAATGTACATAAGAAAATGTGTACAAGACGGATCGTCTGAAAATGGTAATTTCGGAAACTCAGAATTCAGTAATTTAGTGATTCAAAAAACCAGAAGGTCAGTTTTCCTATCTAATATACCATATTTCCTCTACATATTAGAAACCCACCCAAACCTTCAACTGTGACAGATATGAAAAAGTTGTCAACTGACAAATTGTTCATCATAATATCAGAAGTTTTTTGTCAGTTGACCCCTTTTTAATATCTTTCATAGGAGCCAAGAAAAATTTACTCAAAGTTGACAGTAGGGGGAGGGCTACCAATTATAGATCTTACAGCAGTTTTGTTTACTATGAACTTGTTTTTATTGGCTCCTATTTGAATTTGGAAATGTGTTTTGTCTTCGAATTATTTTTTTTCCTCTGCTTTCATTTTGTTCAATTTCTAAAAACTGATACCTGCATGAATGGATTAGTTGTTGCATGGAATGCAATCTGACAGTCATCTTCTGTATAATTTTGAATTGAAACAGAATAGGAGACGAGTGCCTGAACAGTCGTGTTTGGAAGTCATTATAGAAAAGAGCAAAAAAAGAAAAAAGAAGAAGACAACTGGGTTCCGGGAGTGGCCAAATTTCAGGAAGCGCGAATGGCTAATTGAGTTCGTTTGCCCTTCCTCTCGTCATCTGTTTCTTTGATTTCTTTTTTTGCAACAAAAAACTTGCCTTTCTAGCCGTTTTCACGAAATCATCGGATGCCATGTGTGTTTGTCTGTAAGTGAGAAAAGTGGTGATGGAAAGAGAATGAAGAAGAAGAACCGAAGTGAAGAGTGCGGATTATGCAAATTGAGACTTCCGGAAAATGACTAGACAGGAAGAAAGGGGGAAAAAGAAAGAAGAAAAATGATACGTACGGAATCTTGGGTTTACTGAATAGGCGATACATGTGATCGAGGTTGAGCTTAATGATGTTTCGGTGTTAGAATAATCTTCTTTGTGGGATGTTGGGCACAAACTACAGCTGAACCGAAAGTGCTCGGGACTCGATTGTATCAAAAAATAAAGAATATCCTGAATTTTCGTTCAAAGCCTTTGATCAGAGGACAGAACAAAAAATAGAGAAGATTGGATACGTATAATCTTAAAATATGAGGCATTACGACTGAAATGAGATGTGGTTGTTTATCATCATCCAGAGAAAATGGATATATATGAAATTTTTATGGAGCAATATATGTGAAGAGATAGAGGGAAAGAAGATGGAAAAAATAAATTGTTAATGGAAAAAAATAGGCGATAGAAATATGAAAATAAATGAGAAATGAAATACTTTTGAGTGCTAAAGCATGGACCCCGAAAAAAAAACAGAAGAACAAACACTATTTCAGAATGTAAGTGAGCAGATTGAGTCTCTCTTTCTCTCTCAAGAAGAAGAAGACGGAAAAAGAAGAAGAGAAAGGATACGAAAGAAATGGACAGAAAAGATTGGGAGGAGGAGAAGAAGAAAGGAGATTCGTGAGAATGTTTCCATGGGTTGCCCCATCGAGATTCGAGGGTTTTTTCGGTTTTTTCGAAGTAATTTTTTGAAATAATTTATCACAATTGGGACCTTGGACAACAGTTTGTAAACAAGGAGTAACGAACTAATCGCTCGAGCTGAAAAAAAGGCATGTAATGGTTGTCAATTGGTTCCTAATGGTCAATGTCTTTTCGTAGCAGTTTCAACAACTGCCGTAAATCCTGTATTATACAGGCTGACCTTTCTATTGTTCCAATGTACTTACAGAATGCTCTTCTATTGCAGGGGGTTCATTTAAATCTTTTATTTTTCTAAAAAGTTCCGTGAATTCTCGTTCAAAATTCATGAATATCTATCGATTTCACAAAAACTGAGCACCGTTTTTCAGAAAAAGAGCTTTTCAAGACATTTCTCTAAATTTGTGGAAATTCCGGAGCATTTTTCACTGAAAACACACTGAAATTCTAACCGTGAAACCTTTAATAGAAGGGTATCTAACTTTTTACTTCGAGCCCATTTTAGCTCGGTTCCTGTCAAAGATATAAAGAAGTTGTAAGCTGATAAACTTTGTTATCATAATATAGACAATGTTTTGTCAGTTGACACATTTTTGATATCTCGCATAGGAGCCAAGAAAAATCAGATCAGACATGACAGTGTGGGGTGTGTATTTTGAAGGGCCCTTATATTGCAGGGGGTCATTCATTTTTTCCAAGCTCCTCCTAGAGGGCCCTTCTATTAAAGGAGTCCTTCTAATACAGGTTTCACGGTATTCCGGAATAGGGAAAGTATCCTGAAAATAATAAACAAAAAATCCCAAAAAGGAAAAACTAGACATTGAGCTCGGAGGTGCATAGCTCGGAGCTCGGAGGTGTATAAGTAAAAAAAAGGCAGAAAGTAGCAAAAAGCGAAAAATCCTTCTGACAAAAACTGATTGAATTGAAAGTGAAGAATACGAACATGAAAGCGACCAAAAAAAAAAGAAATAAGTGAAAATCGTGGGGGGCTAAGAGAGGACGGTGAGTGAGTCGTAAATACATAGTTTGCGGGTCCACAAGCCTCTTCTTCTTTCTTTTTTCTCTTCTCCGAAAAAAGAAAAAAAGGATAAGAAGTAGAAGACGCACAGCTTATGGCCTTCATTTGTGGAGGGAGGGGATACTCAATGACTATTTGGAGATACGAAAAAAAAATGAAGAACGGAAAATAAGAGAAATAGGATAAAATTACTTTGAAAGAGAAAGGATTATGTGTGTTGTTATGGATTTTGAACTTTTACTGGATCTTTCTGGAAGTATGGGTTCACAAGACAGTTAAAATTAGAATCACAGACGGCTCCAGAAGGCGGCGCACTTTCAGAATTTACTATGTGCATAACCAATGTAACACCAAACAAAAAATAGCGTTGAGACTCTTCTCCCCCTCTCAACAAAATTGGTTATGTTGAGAATCAGAAGACCAAGAAGACGTGACTGATGGGATTGTTTCTGTTTCAGATGTGAATAGATTCTTGAATAAATTAGACCTCCGTAAAAAAGAAAAAGAAAAGTAAAGGAGGTTTCATCGGAAAACAAAGTTGTGCTCGACTCATTTCCCTTATGTCACTTTTCATTATTTTCCATTCTGTTGTTGTTGTCTTTTTTATCCCACTGAGAAAACAAGAAAACAGGGATTCACCACTATTTTTTTTTCAAATGATAGGTTTCACAGAGATGCTCCTCTCAGAATATGCACAAAAAAATTTCCAAACGGTCTCTGAAAAATTTCCCCAGAGAACTCGTCATAGTATAAGTGCCGACGAATTCCGTTTGTCAAAAAGAAAAGAAAAAACGCACTTGTCAGTTATTTTTGATATGTTTCTAATCGTTTTTTTGAGTTTGGAATATGCATTCTGACGCTTGAAAGTGTCTCTCAAAGTTAGACCTTGTATATCTGTGTATGAATCATGAGCTAAAACAAGAGGATTGGAATGAAAACGGTTTATTAAAATCGATGAATATTTCGAGAAGGTTCAACACAATCCGCAAGATTTCATGCAGTCGCTGAAAATTATTATATAGCTGATTTTCAAGTTTAAAATTTAACTACCGAGTTGCCTGGTGCATCTACCCTCCAACCCCTTCTAAAGGTTCTCTCTAACCACGCAACGACACTCCGCTATCCCGCTCGGCGCGCGCACAATTTGAATTTAGTTTTGAGTGATTGCGAGCTTGGATTTGGCTCGTGGTTGTTCTAGAGACTCTTTTAAGGATTTTAAGTGAGTTTGCTTAAATTCTAAGGTTTTATTTGTTGTTTCTTCCTAACTTGTTCATAATAAACCGATTTTGTTACATTTCTTGTTGATTTTCTTCTATTTTATCACAGGAACCTGATGCCCCGGACATACCGCGGGCAATTACCGTATACAATGGAAGGGCTCCCACACTTCCAAGTTTGAGCTCGATTTTCTTGGCTTCTATAAGAGATATCAAAAATGATTCTACTGATAAAATTTTAATGATATAAGAAGGAGCGATTTTCAAAATTTTCAATTTTCATCCCAAATCACTTCGATTTCCAAAATTTCTGTGAAGTTTCAGTAAAATCACGTGAATTTCCAAAATCCCAGAACTCGAACCGTTCGAGTTCTGTGAAAAATCCCAGAAATTGCAACGTTCAATTTCTGTGAATCACGTAAAATTTCCAAATTCCCAGAAATTTTGGAAATCGAAGTGATTTGGGATGAAAATTGAAAATTTTGAAAATCGCTCCTTCTTATATTATGATAAACACTTTCTGAGTTGACACATTTTTGATATCTTGCATAGGAGCCGAGATAATTGAGCTCAAACTTGACAGTAGGCCTTCCATTACAGATTTTACGTTATTGGAAAAACTTACTACTTGAATTCGGGAAACATTGCATTGGTGCACATGTACTTCTTCTGAGAACAACCCGAACTTTTATCCTGACATGGTGGGGCTGAGGTCGGAGGATCGGCTGGGTCAACACAAAGTCCACAAGTCTTTCGACACGATCTACAAAACTACAACTACAGTTTCGGATCAATATCGCTAAAACTCATTCTTTATATTCCGGGAACACTGCGTTGGTGCACAAGTACTTTTTCTTCTGGCAGGCTTCGGTGCCATCGTCATCTTTACAGACCTGTTTGGCTGTGGTCATTTTCGGAACAGGAACCTTTGTGGTGTATACAAAATTTGGGTCTTTGCAGAGTCCGCAGGTTTTTCGGCAGTAACTATAAGATATTTTAATGTTGAGGAATATTTAAAAATTCAACTCACAATCTGGTGTCAGATCCGAATGGGTCATCACAGACGTCTTTTTTGGCTTCACAGTAGGCGGGAGTTCCTCGGTCGTTACAGTCGTCTGGAATCAGCTACTGTGTCAGAAAAACAAACCCTCATTTTCCTCTAAAGAAACGTTTATATGGCCTGTTGTTTCTAGATGTATCTTAGATTCTGTGAATAATATTTTAATAATCATTGAGCTCTTAACAATATCTACTAGCAGGCTCACCTGGTTGAGCTCATTTGAAAATTTCAGCTACTAACACTTACTTCCTGGTGGAGGAGTCGAATCTTGGCAAAGCCCACATGTTTTTTTACAGTAACTGAAAGTTCGGAGCATTAGAACATTTATATCTACGATCCTTGACTACTATCTGGTGTCCGAGCCAAATGGGTCGTCGCAGAACTCCTTGTTGTCTTGACAGTACTGTGGTGTTCCACGATCATCACAAGTTGCTGCTACAGTAACCCCGATAAGGAGAAATGCGACTAGAAAAAGACGGAAAATCATTCTGAAATGAAGATGACACTCTTACGATGGCTCTCTTTTTATACAGGGAAACTGTTTGCTTATCAATTCCGTCTTGATTTATCTAAAATCTTTGCGAGTGACGTTGGTTTATCAGTTCCTCGTTTTTTTTCCTTTCTGCACCTTTGATCTTCTCCTACTCGACTGTATTTCAAAGGTATTTTTTTCGAAAGGAGTTTGCTCCGGAAAATTGATGTCATTTTGGTATTTCTTTTCACAACAGGATATCAGGCCCGGAGTAACTAGAAACGAGCGCCCTCCTTTTTTAAAGTTGGTCTTTTCTCTTATCACCGATGCCGTTCTATTACAAGGGCCCTTCAATTTTTCAGGTATTTTTTTTCCGAAAAATTTCATTAAAAATATCGGTGGACTCTCACTAAAAATATACGGAAATTTACGATTTCACACAACACATTTTGAACATTTTGAACTTCTCGGAGAGCCAGGTTTTACGGTACTGATTTCCTGGTTCTCGGTCTGTTATTGACATTTGATTTTTCCGCAATTTTAGAAGAGCTTGATGTTTTAAAATGATGTATACCGTAAAGCCTGTAGGATTGCAACTAAACACTGCCAAGCCCGTTTATTACAGGTTTTACGGTAGTAATAACAAAACAAACTTCCGTTTACAAATAAATATTTTATTTCGAAACGAAAAAAAATAGGATGGATGTCATGCAGGTACCATGAAAAAGGATATGGAGCCAAAAGATGTTTTCTTTGGACAATAAAAGGAATTATATAGTTTTTGGTTTTTTGAAAAATTTCAAACTAAGCGGAGTGTTCTCCCGGATATTTACAAAATATCACATTGAAGACTGGGCGGAAGCTATAGAAAAAGGAAGAATTTAGCAGGCAATCGAGAGACTGTGAATAGGTTAAAACTGTAGAGAATAGATTTGGGTGATAAAGATTTTGAAGAGATCTTCTAATGAATAAGATATCAGAGAGATCAGAGAAGTCAGAAGAACTAGGTGTATGGGAGAGTTTGGTTGTAGTCCATTCGGAGCTGTTGAAGCTTGGAATGAAGCTCCTCCTCGTCTTCGACTTTTCCCATTTCGATTTGGTCCGTTGATGAGCTCTTTCTAAAAATTTTCAGGTTAGAATTAGGTACCTCATATTTTCTGTTAGTTGTGAGATTAATCAAGAGTTGTGAGACAAATTCAGGTATAATTGTGTTTAAGAAAATCAATATTAAAATAACTCAATAGTTTTTTGCTGTGCTTGTTTTGTAGTACCGTTAACACTGGAATAGAACGCCACCCCAACTGTCAGCTTTGAGCCAATTTATCTCACAAGGGAACGTTTTTAAAAAAGGCTTTGGGAATTCGCTGAAAATTTCAGTACCTATAGTTTGACACCTCCTCTACACGATGACGAAAAAATCTAGGTCCCATTCCCATCAGAAAGCTGAAAATTTTTGTCTGAAAAATTGAGCCCGATTTTGGCGCGCCTTTCCCCTCTCTCCTCTCGCCCTCCGCGTGAGAAGAAAATGTCGGCTGTGTGGTGTTGTGGTAAGAGGGTGACTCATTAGGAGTGACTATTAATACAATTGTGGTTCGAACCCCACTCCGGTAAAACTTTTTTTGTTTTTTTCAAAACGAATCCCCGATATTCATCTTGGTCCTTTAGATAACAAGTACCTTTGCACAAATTTTGAGCAAATTCCCAAAGCCTTTTTTAAAACGTTCCCTTGTCAGTTCAGGGGAAAGATACCAAAAAGGGATAAACTGACAGAATGTTTAAGACAATATAGTAAACCTTTTGTCTGTTGACCACTTTTTGATCATTCACAGAAAATGAGATATATGTACTCAAAGTTGACGGCTTGAGGGGCGTTCTATGACGGTGTTAAATATAAAACCGGTGTTAAATATTGAAACGGTGTTAAATATTGAGCCCAAACTCAAAAAAATATTCCGGAGTTGCACGTGCTTTACTTCATCTGGTTCTCTCTTGAAGCACGGGTTCAAAAAGGTCATCATCCATTTTCGACTTGGATATCAAATTTCAAAAAGTTTGCATTTTTTCATGTGGTGCTTTTTCCGTTAGAAAGAAATCAGAGTGTGCAAACGAAAACACAAAAAATTGTGCATAGACAGACGAAGTAGGAAACTAGTAAACCTCCTGCTAAACATCATTCGTTTCTGGCTTTGACTTCTATAAAACTTGTGAAAATAGAATTTGATTATCTTTCTAATTATGGCGATTCACATACCTGTGCTGTCTGAGTTCTCCTTCGAATCCTCCACGGAGCTCATCAATGAGAATTGCGATGAGAGTACGCCAGGCGCGAGATGCTTCGCGAGTCTTCTAGAAAATATAGTAAAATTCAGAACTTTTTCTACAACTAAGGCGTACTTACCGTGACGACTTCATGGGAGCAAACACGCTCCATTGCAATTTCTCCAAGACGTTCCCAGATGTCGGAGGAGAAGTTGCTTCCTTTCGCAAGGATAGCATGAGCCGATCCGATTCCACGAATTTTAGCGACGAATTCGTTCTCGTCATCGAGAGTGGCTAGAAGTTCATCGAAAAACCTAAAATTCGGAGTTTTGAAATTTCGATAACCCTGGGAGCACTGACTTGGTTGTCAACTTAATGTGCACTTCCAAAGTCGCAGTGTTATCATCATCCTTGTTGAATGCGTCGACGAGCGCAGCCTTGTAGAAAATTTGCTTCACTTTTGGAGAAGCAATTTCCAGTTCAAGGAATATCTTGCGGAAGCACGCCGACGCTTGTGGCTTCAGAAGACGCCACGAGAGGTTGAGAGCTTGTTTTTGACTGAAAGTCAATGAAGCGATGGTTCCCAAATTACCTGGAAAATAATTATTTATATGTGACTCATAGTGAATGTCCACCCCCGTAACTAGTCTTGATTAGCTCCTAATAATCTGAATGAGTCAAATAATACGAATTCTAATTACCGTATGAGTTATTGAATCGGATATTTCCAGCGCTGGATTTTCGAGAATACATTTTGAAGATTTTTTTGAATCTGTAGAGGAACTTTCAAATTAAAGAAGAGTTGTTTTAGAATAAAGAAACATAGAATATGCTGGAAATCGATAAGGAAAAAAGTGAGAAACCAAAAAGTGAAAAGTTGGGAGAAGAGTACCCGGTGGGCCATTGGATAAACAAGGCCCAATGAGCTCCAATTGCCGTTTCGTGCAAAAAAGGAGGACAGAAAAAGAACGGGAAATTCGATTCTTACGAATATGATCGAATTGAAGAGCTTCTCCTCCTTTTTTCTCGTGCAAATCGAATCTGCATTCCAATGAGGACCACAATCCAAATACATCATTTTAGACGATCCAGGAACAAAAAACGAGTGGCTCAAAGATGATAAAAAGTTGGGGGATAACCTAGAGTCCTAGTAAAAAATAGGGGAGAAGTGTATTGAGAATAGCATCATCTAAAAATGCCTAAAGCATTTAGCATCACTCTAGTCTTCTATTTTCGGGATGTCTGACAGTAAAATGAGACTTTCCATTCTTCATCTAGAATTACATGAAAGATGGGGATGAGACGAATAGTTGTCTCGTGGATGAGGATGACTTAATAAATGCGCATAATACAAATTTATTTCCTTTCATCCGGTCGCCTCTTCTTCATTTTTTTTTAGAGCCAACTTCATCTTCTCAAAAGACAAACGAAGAAAAAGAGAAGACTTGTAGAAGACGTGGAAAGCAATATAAGGAAAACGACTAAGGGAAAGGAGCTTCAAGAATATATTAGCCTCATTTACCTCATTTTTAGCCATCAATTGATGACAAAATTGCATTCGTGCATAAGTGGGAACACCTGATATATATGAGTCACTTAATATATGAAAATGTTTGAAATTGCTGAATTTCCTATAATGTCTACAGGAAAATACCTCAGATAAATACAATTCTCTGGATTCGAAAAAGGGATGTTCGGAATGGCATTTTAGAAATTTTTCGGAATGTCGAAAATACCGATTTTCCAAATTTCGGAGTTTCAGAATATCGGAATATTCAGAATTTGAAAAATTCGGAATTTCGGAGTTTCGCAGTATTCTGATTTTGAAAGTTTCGGAATTTCGGAATTTTCGGAAAATTTAAAAACCAAACTTAAAAGTAGGAATTCCATTTTCCCATCACACAAACTCCAAAAACTCTTATTCCGAAAAAATCATTCGGGAATATTTCGACGATATTCATTCCAATTTTTTCTCTGAATTATTTCGGTCGGAACTTTCGGAGTTTCGAATTCCTTTCCGAACACCCCTAATTCAAACACTGTTATTATTTGAAGTATATATATTTGAAGTGAAAAACCTGGGATGGTCGACTATACCATAAATTGACATGTTTACCGTAAAACCTGTAATTGAAGCCCCCCCCCCTTTAAATTTTAACTTTGAGCCAATTTTTCTTGGTTCCTGTCAAATAAATAAAAAAGCTGCCAACTAATAAATTGCCTACCATAATGCCAGAAGCGTTTTGTCAGTTGACTACTTTTCGATATCTCACATAAGAATTCAGGTAATTGAGCTCAAACTCGACAGGCCCTTCTAGCTCAAACTTGACAGGACCGTTTTATGGGGAAAATATTTAATATCTTGCACAAAAATAACTATCCAATGAATCTCAGATTTGTGCATCCAGTGTGCCTAACAGTCTGAACCTCTGAAGAAACACCTTCCAAAATCTATGAAACCATCACAACGACTATTGAGGTCAAGAGGAACCAAATCTTTTAAAAAACTAGCAAATGTCATAAAACTGGAGGTTTTGAGCGTTTGCTCTCTTGTTTCCCGCCCATGTTTTAGCAAACTAGTTAATCAGAAAAGACGTTTTTGTGAGGATTCAAAGAAGATACAATCTTTGTCCTTTTCCATTTTGTTTTCGATGACGTTTCCTTACCTCTTCTCGTTGACTTGGATCGACTGCATCCTCGCTGAGTTCCACGGCGAGCCAATCCATTTGGTCCTAGAAGAAAAGGGCGTTAGAATTTGAATTGATTCAAGAGGTTTTTATTTGTGGGGTATTTTCAGGGACCTACCATGTGCATCTTGCATTGAATACGACCTGTCATATTTTGCCATTCGTCTCATTTTTTTGACGAAACTCAATGTGACACTTTTCTCGAAAAAATTATTTTTGTTTGGATCGAGTCAGCAGATCACCTATACATTTTTTTTGAAAGAAACTGAAAATGATATAATTTTTTCGAGATGAAAAGACTTCTCTGAATAAGAAGGAGAAAGGAAAAACGACAACACAAAGGAAAACCTAAAAAAGCAAACTAATTACTTATTCGCTTCCAAAGGAAGAGAAAGGTGATGAAGAGTTGGAAAAAAGAAAAAGAAACAAGCCAAACAAAAATGAGGAAAAGGCAATTTTTGTTCGAAAAAAGAAAGAAATGGTTGATGAATTCTGATGGAATGTCTGGATTTTGTTTTTTTTTTCTTGAAAAATAAGTTTTGAGCTATTATTCTTGTCCAGCGTCGATGAACCTTCTGGCCGATTTTTTGTTTAAAGGCGCATAGCTGGTATTGAAACGAAAAGAGCTACGGTTTTACAAATAAAGGCTGATTATCCATGAGAATCTGAAGAATTTTAACAAAAACAAGCACACATCTTAATGAAATAGGGAAACATAAAATAATTCGGAAGTGCTGTATTAAAGGCGCATGGAGTTGTTTGGAAAACCGTACCCGTTTCCTCTTCAGGACCGGCTACTAAAGAAATTTTCAGCCAGAAGGCTCATCGGCGCCGGACAAGGATAATATTTAAAATGTCAAAAATAGTTATATTTTGAAAAAATCCAATCTAATTTCCGGTAAGAGCGGAAACGAGTCCTAGAATGACGTTTTCAGTCAATTTGGGATTTTCAGCAACCTGCTCATAGTTGCAGAACAAGTTATCTTCCTCTTTCTGAAATTCGAGAGGAAATCCGTTTCTGGGAAGTCCCGACGCGCTCCAATGAGTAATTGAGCGTCGGGCCGAGTTCAAATTTCAATTCAAAAAGTGTTCAAAAATTAGGAATTCTGAAGTCAGCTGAGCTTCTTGGAGGGGCAAGAAAAATTCGAAAAAAATTGAAACTGCTAGTCTTCTCCTGACAAATGAACTCGGACAGAAATGGGGAGGAACTCCATGCAAATCTAATGCGATGAAATGAAAAATGACGGAAGAAGTAAATGGAAGTAGAAGAAAAAGGAAAAGGAAAAGCGAGAATTGTAGGATTTGATATGGGGGTAGAAGAGGAAACACAACTGATGGATTATGTTGTAAATCCGGAGATTTGGTGATTTCATTTTTTTTATATTTGGAGAAGTATCCAAACATTTGGAAAGTAGTTCGATTTGAGCTGTTTGAAGTGGATCCTGTTTCAGGATTTCGAAAATTTAATACCTATCGAATTCGTTGAATCTCAAAAAAAATTGAGTAGATTTACTATGAGTTACATTAGAGTTGGATTACATGATCTATTCTGGAGGACTGAAGACCAATATTTCCAAAAAACTGAAGGCCAAAATTTAGGAAAAAGAATCGTTTCCTTACGAAACGTTGTGAAGACTGGTGCCTCATAAATGTACCATACTTGGAAATTTTTGTAAAAAAATCAAGCCCCCTTTACATTAGTGATTCTGGCCGAAGATGTCTAGGACACGGTGGTTTTTCAAATTGAAAAAATTTCGAAATTTCAGAACTTTTTTATTCAAATCAGAAAAACCATTTTTGGCACTACTCCGGCGAGCTTATTATTTTACAGTACTCCGTAATACCTGTATTAGAAGGGCCCTTCAATAATAGGGCCCCTATAATAGAAAGGCCCCTCAAAAAGAGTTGTTTGAAATTGAAAATTTCTGTACGTTTTCAGTGAAAAATATTTTGGAAACTCCACGATTTCACAGAAATTTGATCAAAAAATACTTTTTTGCTCAAAAGCATACTAAATTTTGTAAAATTGATACTTTGCATGAATTCGACGAGAATTCACTGAATTTTCCGAAGAAAATTTTCGAGAAAAATGACTGGAATAATAGGAGTGGTACCCTCTAATTGAAGGGCCCTTCTAATAAAAGGCACTCCGGGGGTATTTTGGAACAATAGAAGGGCCGGCTCTTCTAATACAGGTTTTACGATATATTTGACATAATATGTGTTCATTCTTTTCTAATTGGCCCCGAGAATTTTCGAAAAGAAGAAAACAAGTTACTGAAAGTCTGGGCCAGGCCTTGGAATTTGGAATTATGAAAAATATATCCAGTTCGTAGGACATATAATTCTGATTGTGTTCTCCTTGGACGTATCTTTTTGAACCGGATCAGTATTTTTCTGCGTAAATCAAAAGTTTAATCTCTTGACCTGAAGTTTCATTCCGAATTTGTAGGATTTGATGTCATTTTTTCAGAGATCTAAAAGATATTTTCAGATCAATTTCAGATCCGTTTCGTCGTACCATAAATTAAAGAGAAAAAATACACAGCTCTCTAATATGAAGGAAAAAGAATAATAGGAAGGAAAAGTGAAAGGTTTCTTTCTGGATATTATTAAACAGCAAGAAAGTCATAGAACATTTTCCGCCTTTTTGACTTATTCGATTCGATGAATGAGTTTTTATAATATCATGTTTTTGAGCCGAGCAAATTCCACATAAAATGTTGAGAACGGAAGTGTGGAAGTGATGAAAAAAGAGGAAGAGGAGGAAGAAAAAAGATGTTCTTACACAATGTGAAATCATTTTCAGATTCAGAAATGGGGAGTCCCAAATACATTCTCTAGTAGAAAAAAAACGAAATAAAGCATTCTTTTTTGTTACTCATCATACGGATATTCAACTATCCACAACTCGATTGTGCATTGTTTTTGCTTCATGAACTTCTTTAGTTTTTCTTTTCTTTTCTCTTTTACTGATCCAAAGTTTTTTTTGTTTAAAGATCACTCGTATTTACAGTGAATCCTGTAATAGAAGGGCCCCGACACTATTAGCTTGTAGCTCATATATCTCGGTTGCTATGAAAGATATAAAGAAGTAATCAATTGATAAAATTCTTATGAAATTATCAGCTATATTTGCCAATTAACACCTTTTTTATATCTTTTACAGGAACCGAGAAAAATTGGCTCAAAGTTAGGGGGCCCTTCTATTACAGGTTTTACTCTCACCTTTGTTAGTGACACGACACGATTGGGTTCGTCGGAATTGATACGGAGAAGTTGAGAGCTCATCCATTCTGAAAATAGAGAATAAAAATGTGTTTTGGAATTCAGAATCGAGATCAAGTGATGAAAACTTTTTGAGAGTTTTATAGGCTCAGGTATTTCTCAAGAATTTCTGAATTATTCAAAAGTGACGAGATGTTGTAAGAAAAGAGAATGGAGCAGAGAAAAGGTTTTTGTTAATGTTGACTGGTAAGAAAATTTATAAATTTTAAAATTATGGGGTTTGATAACCACGGGATACGACCACGCCTTCTAGAATGAATCAGAAGAAGAGGAAGAGGAAAAAGGACGAAACTCCACAGGACAAACAATCGGCAGGAGACTGAGTGAGTGAATATGAAACGAGAAAATGATCTTTTTTGAAAGAAAAAAGAATAGTACGTACTTCGGGGGAAACAAGAAGAAACAAAAAATATTTTTGAATGCATAGCCAAAGTTTCAGTTACCACTCTCTTCAACAAATTGGCTCGCAGGTAGGTTTGTCTGGTTCCAAAAGGACCAGAATATTACTCATTCTGAGAGCTAGAGGACACTCGGAATCACGAATTCTGGTGTCTGTTAACATCGAAAAAGTTTCAAAGTCCGATGACGTGACTGGTGATGGGAAAAGGAAAAGAGTTGTACATCTTTCCTTTCCTTGTCTCCTTTTTCCTTTGAGCCGTTTTTTTCTCAAATTTCTTCTTCCGACCGATGCGGCACGGATTTGAAGTGGTAAATAATTGAAACGATAGCGTGTTTTGCATCAGATTCCAATGCTCACTGACTATGAGAAAAATATATATTCTGAAGTCAAAAAATAGACTCAGGAATGCCGCGATTCCTGATGCTGGTGCCTATTTATATTGATCGAAATGCGATGGAAATAGAATGGACTGCAAAAATCACATCCGATTAACACCTCCACAGGAAGTGGGGGATGCTGCTAATTTGAAGGAAAAAATATAGGAGAAAAAGGAGCAAATAGTTAGAATCCTAGAAAGTAGGAAACTATGTATCAACCAATCTCGGAAAAAGAAGTCGTTGATGACACAATAGGAGAAAGAAAATGGAAGAAAAGACACTAATTAGAAATTTAGGATTAGTAATGAAAAGAATTAGGTGAGTAGAGAAGAGGTAATTAGATGCTGAACACATCGATTGAGTTGGACTTTTGAAATGTTCGACTTTTAAGATTCAGAAAACTCGAGGGAATCTAAAATTTCGTTTAATAGGTTATCAGAATATTCAATACTTTGAGTTTTAAGATTTTCGAAGAATGATGCGGATAAACCAAAAGTTCTAGACAATGAACCCTGAGATAGACTAGTGAAGCATGAAATGGATTACGTCTACATGTGTTATGAGCATTTTCGTTTCGTTTTTTCTTGTAGAACTTCAAACACGAGACGTAGGGGTCGCTAGACAAGGTACATAAAAGTTCCAGACATGTACTGATTAAAAAAGTTCGATCCCGTTTAGTCTCCGCATACTCTTTTCCTATTTCTCATAAATCTCATAAAAAACGGAAAATGTGGTAATATCAAAGTTGCTGATACCAGCCCACAGAGTTCGAGCTACTGTGGTATGCGGATACGCTCTAATGAGAAGAGGCGTGGAACATTTTTAGGCAGATGGAAAAAATTGAGAAGGAGAGAATTCGATATTTTTAAGTCGAGTTTTGGAATGCGTTTTATAAGAAAAATCATATTGTTTGTAATCGGAAGTTCATCCATTATACTGTATTACCACGGTTTCGAAATGGCCGGTTTCGAAATGACTGGTTTCAAAGTGTCGCGGAACCAAAGTTTTAGGCCAATGAAAAAAAGATAAATTCTGAGAAACAGCAGTAGATCGAACCCTGTGTTCCAGGCTCTGACCGTGTGGAAATTGTAAAAAACGTAAAATGCGGCGATTTGAATTGAAAACGAAAAACTACATGTGAGCAATGAGAAAATTAGAAAAACATCCTCTCCATCTGTCTCCTTGGAAACATATCGTTACAAAACACATCAAATGTGTTTTTTTCTTTCTCTTCTTCTGCTTTTTGTTTTCACTATACACTATCCAACTCGCCATATCAAATGAAAAAGAGTGCTTCTTCTCGATTCAGTGTCCATCGAAAACTGATGAGAATCTGGAGATTCGTAGGTCACGAGAGACTTGAAAACATTGAATTCGTTAAGCATAAAAAACGAATGAAGAAGCGGAGAAAAAGGCAACAAGGGGGGATTTCTTGAAATCTCAAGATCGGTGAATACTTGACTCCTCTTGAGAGACTCATTCCAATTATTCTGGTGTCTTCTGAATGAGAAAGAGTTAAGTAGATGTCTGGGACATGACAAGAAAAAATGAGTGAGATTGCAGGAAGCGGTCCCCACGGAGAGTGAGAGGGGCAACAAAATACATAAATAAAGCTAATTTGAAAAGCACGAGACATGAAACAAAACGTTTGGCGGGGCGGCGGTGAAATATTAATTTGAATTGAGACATGTTCCAAAAAAACCCAATTCACATGTCGACTGGAAAATGGAGAAAAGTTGGTGGAACCCAGAAGACGTCGAGTGGCTTCTTGAGCTCTACTTGGCTGGGATAGAAAAAGGGACGGAGCAACAAAAAGAAAACAAAGGAGTCGATGAAGCGAGTTACACGGTTGATTCGATTTGAATATGTTCTGAAAATGCGAGGAGTAGATTATTGAGAGATGAGTGGAAGAAGAAGAAAAAAAAATAGAAGAAAGGGTAGAAAATTGAGAAAGGAGAAATAATTGGTGAAGACAAGGGAGCACAGACTGAAATATGAACAAATATGAATATTTATGCATGACAACAACACATAGGTAACAAGAGATGATGTTGTGTTAGAAAAAATAGGAAAGTTGGAGGAAAGGAAAAGGAGAAGAAGGAAACCGTCCATTAGTTGAGCTGGAAAACAAGAAAATGGTGTGATAGGATGGAGAGGCTTCTGATCAATAGAATATCTTAAACTTCAAAGTTTCACAATGATCCCTCAAACTTTGTAGGCTTTCAGAAGCAAAAAAAAAAGTAATTTAAATTTCACCCAAAAAGTATATTGGCGTATTGAGTGTCGATCAGACAGAATTCCCAAGTATCGATGAGCTAAAGTATCCTAGAAGGTAATGAACAGAGATGTCCGGAATGAATTTTCAAGAAATAGAATCCGGAATTCTGACATCTCCAGTGTGCAGAAAAGTTATAAAGAAATTCCAACAATTTTAAAAATTTCAAATATCTGAAAATTCTGAAAATTCGAAAGTTTAAAATTCTAAGCTTTCTCAATTCCAAAACATATGGCGCTTTATTTTTTCATCGTTAGTAGCAGAAATTTGAATACACATAATTGTTACAGCTTAACCTATTTGCTGAAAACGCGGAATAAAACAATTTTCTTGGAATTCGGCATCCGGAATCCTGAATCCGGACATCCTCTGGTAATGAAACTCAAACATCAGCGGATCAGTGCATCGGAGTATAAAGGAAACTAACAGACTCGATTGTATTCAGCATTCTTTCGAGTGGAAACTTGTGGCAGATAGCAATAAAACATCAAAAACCCGACAAGATAGTTTCACATTCAACTCGAAAAAGTTTTTAGAGAAACTTCAATCATTTTTTCATTGTTAATATACCAGAGATGTCCAGAATAGCTTTTTTTGAGAAACTGAATCCGGAAAATGGAATACAGAATCCGGAATGCGGACATCTCGGATTCATCATGCAAAACTATACGGAGAAAACAAGAAGGGCAGTTACACGTAGGATTTCCATTTGGGGGCGATTCACCCGCCCGCACCCGCCCGGGGGGAGTCACCCCCTCGGTCCCCCGTTGGCCCCCCGCAATTATTTACGTGAAGTAAATTATTTTTTGATTTCAGAAACTCTTTTCTTGGAATATACGTGATTGTCATTAAAAATTAGATAAAAATTCACACGCAAATAATCGCGGGAGGCCGCGGGGGCCGTGGGTGGTAGCCCCCCGGCGGGTGGCGGGTGGCTCTTTTTTCCACCCGCCCAAATGGAAACCCTAGTTACAGGAACTTAAAAAAAACGTTGATTAAACTCACTTGAAACTTCGAAACTGCACGTGGATTCTTCTACGAAGATCCTTTGGATCGTCGTCTGACGGCTCGGGATGCTTCTGAAAAATATACTGAACTTCTAGAGCAAGATTCTGAAAAGGGCAACAGTTGTTTTTTTTCCTTCTCTGGACTCTTTTTATTCACTAAACCAATCAAATTATGACGCATTATTTCAGACAGAAAACGTTCAATTGTATAAAACTGCATGTTTCTAAACATGTCGTTTCGTAATAAAAAAGAGTAATGCACAAAAGAGAAGCTGGTAGTTTTTATGAATTAGTAAAATATATGTAACTCACCAAACATTGTTTTGGACTCCACATTTCTTCTCAGACGGTTTACTTCTCGACCCAAATGAGAAAGAAAAAGCGTCGAAAGGACAAGTTTGTTTGGTTTCGTTACGAAAAACAATGGGTTTTCAGAAGGGAGCGGATCGGAATTAATTTCAACCTATTTTCTCTTGATTTCTTTTCCAAAATTGGTATTCAAGACACGAGATGAAATGAAGAAGCCGTCACAAGTTTGTTCGAAGATGAGCCACCATCACATGAGAAGAGCCAATAGAAGATGTGACAAAAAGAATGAAAAGTTGGGAGAAGAAAAGGTTTGAGCAAAGTATGGGTGACTCATGACTTCCAATAAGTGTTTCTTTGCATTTGAGAACAGATTGAGGTTGAAGTTCAATAGCATCATAGGTGTCGTCGATATTTATAGCTTCTTTTGAACAAGAAACCTTGAAAAGGAAGATGACGATAGACTATAGACGGTCAACGAAACCGAAAAGTTGACCCCTTGAATATGAAAAATACCGTAAAACCTGTAATAGAAGGGCCCCTAAACTATTAACTTCGAGCCAATTTTTCTCGCTTCCTGTCAAAGATATAAAAAAGTTATCGACTGATAAATTGATCATCACAATATCACAAACATTTTATCAGACGATTCTTTTTTGATAACTCTCATAGGAGCCAAGAAAAATTGGCTCAAAGACAGCGTGGGAGCTCCTATTGAAAAATCATTAAACAGTTCCTATTTTGTGTAGCTATTTTAATATCCAGTCGTTGAAATTACTTTCCTGAACTTTTAGAAGTTTTAAATGAATTCTGAAGCTCAGAATTTATCCAAACAGGACGAAGATTTCCTAGTCCATTGCCACTCGGTCACCATGATTTCGATTTCGAATCAATCCTCATCTTCGGTATTTTCGTCTGTTCCTTCTGAATTTTAATGATATTTCGCTGTATTCAGTGCCATGGTTTTTTCTCGAAAAATCGACAAATAAGAGTAATGACTTAGAAAGCATGGTGGCTGTGTGGCCATGGACTGGGAAATCCTCTTCCCTCCCGCACGATTAGAGAAATTTTCTTGACAGCAAAACTGTGCCACATCCGGCCGCAGCATTTTGGATAGTGGTCTAGCGGTCATACCAGTTTCTGGATCGCTGAACTTATTTCAAAACAAGAATTTTTTAAAAACGGACTGATTAGTCTCCGGCAACCTACTCATGGTCTGAGTCACGGTCGCGATTTGCATAGACTAATTTCCACATTTGCCTCATCCAAAATAGACTACAGTCGCCATCATTATGTTATCATTTTAGTATGATACCGTAATCATCAAAGGGTGTGACTCAGTGGTCAGTGATCAATGATGTAGGAAATCTTTTAAACACATTACTGGCGGTTGTTTGACCATTACCTTATCTTCCTTAACTTCTGACCCATACCCCCCCCCCCCCCCCCATTCCAACTCATGATAAAGTGTTACTACACACCCATTCAGTCTGTAAAATGCGTTTTCTAATTTTGCTTACTCTGATTTTTAGTTTTTCGAATGCTCTCAATATTCTGTTCTATCAAGCAGTTATCGGACCATCCCATATAGCGTATTTGAGAACAACCATCAAGAAATTGTTGGATAGAGGACATACCGTTGTATGTTTTTTTTCTGAATTTATGTCAGATCTAAAATTTTTTTTAGGATGTGGTTTTTGCTGTCTATAATGAAATGACCAACCTGGAATTGAGTCCAGAAGTTAGGCGTGTATACTACAACAGACATGCAGATCCGGATTATTGGAAAAAGAATGCAAATCATTTTTCGAATATGTTCGAAAAGCCATCGACACCAATCGGAGAGTTTGAAATATACCACGAGTCTGGGTACCAGTTGTGTAGAAGTAAATAATCGGAAAATATTTCACCATATTTGTTTTGAATCAAAATTTTTATATCAATTTCAGTTGCAATCAATGATAACGAGCTCTTTGATTTCTTGAAAACGGGAGAATATGATATTGGATTTAGCAGTGATTATGATCCATGTGGCAATATTTTAATGACTGCTGCTAAAATTCCTTCCATAGGAAGTAAGCTACAATTTCTTTATTGAAAAAGAGTCGAAGAGTTCCAGGTTTAATGGCCACTCCTATTTTCTATCCTCAAATTGTTAGTGCTGGCCTTCCTACTGTTGCAAGCGTATTCGGAAGTAAGACTTCAAATAAAAACCTTAGAACAAAATTAAAAATATAAATTTACAGCTCCTTTCTTCCCTGAAAATGACGGATCTCTTTATCATAAAACATTCAGTCTTCTCAGGCTGACATATTATCATTACGTTATTGCACCAAACCTTGAACAGAAATATGTATGCTCAAAATATGTTACCGTAATTCCTGTATTAGAAGGGCCGGTCCTTCTATCGTTCCAAGGTACCTCCGGAAGACCCTTCTATTACAGGGGGCTCTTCAATTAGAGAGTGCCCTTCAATTTTTCCAGCCAATTTTTTTGTGAATTTTTTCATCGAAAAAATCGGTGAATTCTCGTCCAAAATCTATGAAAATCTATCAGTTTCACTAAAATTGAGGACGTTTTTCAGCAAAAAAAATAGTGTTTCAGTGATTTTTGAAATGTGAAATTTTTGGAAAATTTTTTGGGAAAAACGTACGGAAATTTTTAATTTTGAAACTCACATTTGAAGGGGCCCCTTTTATTACAGGGCCCTCCTATTAAAGGGGCTCTTTTATTAAAGGGACCTTTCTAATACAGGTTTTACGGTATTTTTTGAATGAAATAAATTGCAGAACCAACTGATTCGGCAAAGATTTGGTAATGTGTTTCCAGATGTTTCAAAAATAGAGCGAGATCTCGATATTGTCTTTGTCAATAGTCACGATTTTCTTGAAACGCAGAGACCGATGAGTCCCAAAATCAAATACATTGGAGGAATGGCAATCAGAGAAGCAAAGAATCTTCCAGAAGAATTCGATAGATTACTGTCTGTTCCAGCATCTGCATGCGTTCTTTTCTCATTTGGAACGCAAGTTCCGACTCATAAAATGCCTTTCCAAATTAGAAAAAACTTTGTGGAAGCTTTCAAAAAGTTTCCCAATGTCACATTTCTCTGGAAGTATGATAACATGGAATTGGACACTGAAATTTTTGAAGGCGTCGATAATGTTCATCGTTTGGAATGGCTTCCACAAACTGAACTGCTACGTGGGTTGGGATACGGAATATCTGGAAAATAGGATAAATTCCAGATGACGATAGAGTGAAACTGTTCATCAGTCATATGGGTTTGAATTCTTATTTGGAAACAGCTACTGCCGGAAAACCAGTTTTGGCAATTCCTTTGTTTGCTGATCAACAAAACAATGCTCAAAATGGTAATCTTTACAATTAGTTTCAAAATAATTTTAATAAATTTCCTTCTGCAGCTAAAAACCGAGAAATGGGACTTCTTCTAGACAGAGATCAGCTAACAGTTCGCAAAATTGAATCAACATTACGAGAACTCCTAGAGAACCCGAAATATCTTTCAAATGCAAAATCTATCTCAAAAATGATACTAGAACAACCCGAAAAGCCAACAGAGAAATTTATTAAATGGCTTGAATTCGCTGCTCGAAATCCCGGATTGAACAAAGTCTTCCGAATGCCAGGATCTGATTTGAGTCCGTTTTATTACTATTGTGGAGATATTTTAATGATTTTAATTTTCATTACTTTTATGGTGTTTCAGTTTTTCCTCAAACAAGTTTCAGCTTTCACTCGAAAAATTAAAACTGATTGAAGTTTTTTATGTCTTCACCGGTCTCTTTGCCGGGCCTCCTGCTGGCTGGGGCGCCTTTGGCGCGATGTAACCTGTTTGTTTTAGAAAAGGTCACGACAAGTTATATTTAATTTTCAAGCTATTCAATTTTCTTTAAATTTTTTGTTCATGTAACGCGATAATTCAATAAATCGTTCATTATTAGTCCATGTCCCCTCCTTCTGTCCACGTTGAAAAATTCCACATATTGCAAAAAAATCAGTTCTCTTTAAAATCAGATTCTTTGAACTTTATTGTTGGATAATTTTCACAAGACCTTCTCTCTGGTCAGAAGCCCTCTGTCTTACGCTGCTTCTTTTTGGTTCATTCTCTTTTTGATCTTTTGATTGGTCGAATGCGTAAAAAGTACTAAAAGGCCCTAAGGGTCGCCATGTTTTGGGGTTCATGGCTAGGTGTTTTTCACTGAACGTCCCCCAGTAGCAAGAGATTCAATCAAAAATCAGAAGAAATGAACAAATATCTATAGAAAGCGTACGCAAGGCTTCTTACAAGGGAAAAGGAACTTTGGAAATTATCCAACAATGGTCCTCGGAGACCATGGGCAATGGGACCCTTTCATGTACTGAGCCTCTACGTGGCGAAAGGGATCAACAGGCTAAAGTCTGGCCAATCAGTACACTTGTTATTTTTCATAAAAACCGTGTTTTTTCAGTTGATTTTGACCATTTTCAGGAGTCCGGAACACGGCTGTCAAGACTCGTCTCAATGGGCTAACTTTGTTTTTTGATGAGCTTTTCATTTTTATGTGAATCTACATGACTTTCTGAGCAAAATAAAAATATAAAAATAATACCAGCTTTAATTTTAAAATTTTTTTTATTGGAAACCAATAAAACAACATTCTTAAAAAATCTGCTCAGTATTCAAAATTAGGATAACTGATCTGTATCAATACCAAGTTCCCGTTTGCACTTAATATTATCGAAGTTCACAAAAAACATATTGATATGGTCTCCGGTCTGATCGATTAATACAGCATATCTTTTGTCGTATACCGTATCCATCAAAATGTGTTTTGCTGTTTCCATTTCGTCTATCTGAAAATCAAAATCAACATTTGATTTCTGAAAAAGGGGTTGTTGATACTTGAAAGTTGATTTGACACACTGTTATTCCATTTTTCTCAAACGCTCCGTTCGATAACAACAGATTCGGAAGATCATTGAAGGATGTATTGAACCAGATGCTACTGTAGAACTGAAAATTAGTTTGCGAATATATTCTCAAATTTTTTTTGCAAAACCAACATTTCGTTTCAGAACACTTTTCAGAAAGTATATTATATCAAGCTGAATCAATGATTCGGATGCGTTCTCAATCGATGTCTCATCTAAAAATGAATGTTTCAGAAATAAATTGAAACTTGAACAGATTACTGTAATTCTCTGTGGAATTTTGAAATAATTCGATGGTCATGTTAACGATACCAGAATCCATTCCGATTGCCACTGGATATTGAGCTCCGATTTTCCGAAATAATTCTTTCTCGATCCCTGGTCTAGGTGACGTTCCGAAAATCAATGTTTCCGGTGCTTTCTAAAAATTTCTGATGTCAAATTGATAAAACTAGAAAAATCACCGTTTTGAGCTCTGCTTCCCCTTCAATATTTTCTGAAACTCCTACTGTGAGATGAACGGGCATTGTAGAGCTCTCGAGCACCGGAAAAGCATGAAATTTGGAATTATTCAACTCGACGATGTTCAAATTCAGATGAACTTTACAGGATTCAGTTAGGTTCGAAATGTGATACGAAAACTAAAAATTGTATTTTTTTTTTTCTTATAGCGTTTGCTCTTAACCCACATCAGTTGAATTCTTCCACAACCCGATTCCATCTTGAATGCAATTGTTCCATTTTGTGTAATTTGTTAATTTCTTAGTTGTCGTTAACTCTTTAATTGAAAAAATCACGAATACAATGAGAAGAGAGGTATAGAAAATTGGGGTTCTGACATATATCATTTTCTTGGAAGTGACTAACATCCCACGTAACCATAAAGCATCTCTCAAAACCACGAGTGTTACCTGCCGTGGCTTACAGCTCATTTGTGAGCTGGAAAAGCCACGTGGCGATAGGATGAGTGAAAAGAGCAGATATTGATACCGAGAGCTATTCTCATATTCGTATAGATTCTACTCGAAAATTTGTCATGATCCGTTGGTTTCGAAACTTGGGAACACTGTTCAAAAAACCAAGAGGAGATGGTATTGTGAAGACTGGTACGGAAGAAAAAGATGTGATCTGTGAAACGCTTGCTATTTCAGAAACAACAACTAACCAAACATCACAACGAGTTGAACAGGTTCAGGAAGTCGTGGATTGCCAAGAAGATCGGCGTAGTTTGGGTGGAAGTGAGAAAGACAACGGCGGGAAGTGACTTTACATGGATTATTTTCAGAAGGTGGGGGAGGCGGAGGAGGTGGTGGTCATGGTGGTGGAGGTCATGGTGGTGGTGGACATGGTGGTGGAAGTCATGGTGGTGGAGGCCATGGTGGAGGTCATGGTGGAGGTCACGGTAGTGGCTATGGTGGTGGACACAGTGGAGGTCATCGTGGAGGCCATGGTGGAGGTCATGGCGGAAATCATGGTTCAGGACATGGTGGACGTTCGAGCCATAGTGGATATGGAGGAAGATCCGCTTCAAGAGGATCTGTGGGAAATCAACACTACAACTCCACCAAACCGAATGGAAGAACTGGGAGATCCGCCTCAACTAACACGTCGAAGAGCACATCACGAGCTAGTAGAAGTAGATCAACTGGAAGAAGTCAGTGATTTTTTATTTAAAAAAACTGACAATTCAGAAAATTAGCAATCAAAAAATCTAGAAATTCAGAAATCTAGAAATTCTGAAATTCTGAAATTACTCATTCAGAGAGAAAAATATTTTCAGAAAGTTCCATGGCCACCAGTTCGAGAAACTACAGTACCACAACTTCGACAAGATCCACCAAATCAACTAATCCAACCAACTCGTCTAACACAATTCCAACAACAACAACAACTAACACATACTCACAGGAAACTACAAAATCAACTAGAAGTAGTTCGGGTTACTCAACTTCATCTATGGGATCAACTGCATCGAAATCAGCTAATCACTCAGGTCAGAGAACACTTATTGTTCACTGATAACTTCAAAATGTTTCCAGTGTCTTCTGGGATGGGCAGTGTCGCTTCAGGTGCCGCTTCTCAAAAGTCTTGCAAAAGTTGTTCCAAGGTTACTGTGCTTTTGCTTCATATTCAATTTCAGGCACCGCTTCAACTTCTACGGGTACTGTATCAAAAGAGAAATCAAGAGGAAGAAGTACTACTCGCAGAGATAACATCAATTCAGGTGAGCAATTAAAACTAGGATTTTGGTTTAAAATATATTTTCAGCGGTGTCTCGAAAATCTCAAAGATCTAGAAGTCGCTCGGTATCCAGGGGCAGAAGTAGGAACCGTAAGAAATAGAAAAAACCCCAACCTCGAAAAAAACAATTTTTACAGGATCCACCTATAATCGATCCAGACCGGAATCTCCAGGAAAATCCAGTTAGACAATCAATTATTAAACTTTAAAGAATCTTTTTTTCAGCAAAAGGACAACATGTGAGCAGAAAAGATGCTGCACTGAAAGAAGTGCTCAGTCCAACAAATGTAAGTTTTTGAGATCCAAAAAAAATCGAAGCCGTGGACGAGAAATACAGGTGTCCGCGACCAAAGGTCTCACACCGACAACTACCGTAACCTAGAAATAGTTTTTTTCTGTATTCAATATCTCGATTTTCGTGCGTTTGTCGTGCGAATTTACTGAAGAGAAATGACAAAAAGGCAGTGAAAAACGAAAAAATAAATTCTGAAAACAAAAATACTTTTAGGTTACTGTAGTCTTCGTTGTGGGACCTTCTTCTACAGCTCAGGCTTTTTTGTACCGTCATAATAAATATTTCGTTTAGAGAGCTTCCCAACTGAATCGCTCTCATTCGGCTCACCACGAAAAAAACTACCATGAGAAACAAAAAACACCAAATGGGGTGTGGAACGAAACTTTCCCGAAAGGCTCATTGATTGTAATATTCTGGAATATTCTTTATATTTTCTAACCTAACTTCAGATGTACACAGATGGTTCGTATTTGAAACGCGAACATCGTTCAGGTATCGGAATATTCGTAGCACCCGGTCATGAACTGAACCGATCTCAAAGAATTCATGGAAACATTCAAGATAACAATTTTGCCGAGTTTCTTGCTGTCAAAACAGCACTTCAAAATGCACTGAAGAATGAGACTTATAGGTAGGAATTGGGTGGAAGACCTGTGAATGAGCAATTGAATTCAGAAACCAGAAGATTGTGATCCGAACGGATTGTTTGAATGTGATCGAGGCGTTGTCCGGAGTAAGAGGTACATCATATCCTGGATTGAAATCTGAAGTTGAATCTTTGGCAAAGTACTTCCCGAAGGGCGTCGATTTCCAGCACGTCTACGCGCATGAAGGAGACCCAGGAAACGAATTGGTTGAAAGTCTGACAACAGGAGTTAGCTTATAAATTAATTATAGGCGGATATGTTTGCTGGTATCGCAACAGGAAAATCTCAGGGATACGGTGGCGGATTCCGGAGAAATCGAAGTGCTTCCAGAGGTTTTTTCCTCGATTTTTTCATGTCTCTATAATGTTTTCAGAGAGGAATCGCATGAGATCCAAGTCTAATGATCCGGCAATGATTCGCAGCAGAAGTCACTCAATTCAAGGAAGACTATGATTACTGTCAATCTTTCGGTGTTCTTTTTTCTATTGAATGAACTATTTCTTTTCAATATCAATTTTTATGTTTTTTACATTCAAATCACAAAAAAAACAGTCATCGACTACTAACCGTTTTGAAAGCTAACATCAAAAATATTGACTGAGAAATGGTGTCCAGAATTCACTGGCAAGGAATTGCACAAATTTTGGTGTCAAGTCAAGAAAAATACAGCGGGAAATGAGCAAGAAGCAATAGATATTTACAACTCAGGTTCACCGTTTCTTGGGTTTCCGTTTTCAACGAGGAGTCTGCGAGCTCCTAACGTGAGGAAAATCGCAATGCAAAGCAGTGCGAGGGGAATTTTGATAAGGAGATAATAGTCGAAAGTGCTAGATTCAATTCGGCGGGCTGGTTGGTGGAAATGCTCAGGTATCGGGGCTGGAACTGAAATGAGAATTTAGAAAACCCCTTCGAATTTAAGTTTTCAAACCTTGTGGTCCAACTGGGGATTCAACTTCGGAAGTAGTGTGATTTGCATTTTGCGGACTCCCGACTGAATTTTCTGTCAAAGTTTGAGCTGACTGAGAAGGCTCTGACGGAGTTTCTCTTTCAGAATTACCACTTCCAGTAGGTTGCCCAGTTCCCTCTGGATTATTAATAGCTTTTCCGTTTTCTGTGATTTCTTTTTTGACAACAGATTCATCTTGAAATTTGAGTTTTGCAGCCAATTGTTTTGCCTCCTCGCTTTCTTTGGATTGTCCGTCTTCTGTGATCGGTAGAAGAACGTCCTTCATCAGGCATCCGCATTCCTTACACTTCCAATCACCGCTTCTGATAAGCTGATGAGGTTAGAGAGAGTAAAATGGATGTGGATACTTACAATTTGGCAAGACGATTTCTCTCTTTTGGCGGATAGTCTAAACTTCCAAGAGCTCCTCCTGGCGTTGAAGGAAGAAAGCCAATCAATGCAAGAAGTGCAGTTCGAACTGAAAGAAACATATTCAACGTACTATAGTTTTTCTAAAATTCGACTCACTACTCCATGAAGGGAGCCACGTCTCCGGGTGGTAGCCTGAGATTGAGAGGCATATTTTCTTGTTTAATTCAAAACGACCATTCGGCTAGAAAGTGTTAATATTCAGTTATAGAGCTAAATAAATTATTCACCGTCAGTAGAATCAGATTTGGAGGTTTCATGGGATATTCTGCTGGGAACATGATTCTTCCATGATAAATTCCCCCTTCAAAGTCGGTTCCAATGGTTCCGCGAATGGTGAAATGCCACTCGAAGAGGTTGTCTTCTATCGGCTGGGCAAAATACATTTCGGTCGGTTGGCGCAGTTCCTTAGCCTCCTGCATCAGTCGTCTCACACCTGAAAATGATAATAATTAGAGCATGAATTTTTTGCAAGGCTTTGACTATGAATCGAAATATTTACTTTTTGGATTTTATGTCTAATTGCAATTGCAATTGTAACAGAATGCAAACGATTCTAAAATCCTTCAATGTGTGAGCCTGTTTTTGAAAGACTTACCGGCACTTTTAGTATTGTATTGCTGCGTCATTTTGAGCTCTATGAGTCGGTTCTCGTGTTCTAACTATTTCTGAATTGATCGACGATGAAACGAGAAGCAGTTTATGGGAGGAAATCAACGTCAGCTGAATCGAATGTTCATCGTCACGTCAAGTCACACACATTTGCGCAGATACACCGCGACGCGCACTCGCGGCCATCCGACCATTTATCGTTTTTTCTCTTCTTTTTCTTCTTCTTCTTCTTCTTTCTATAGAACTTCCGCAATGAAAATAATGTCTCTCCTTACAAGGTTGCTGATCGTGTCTTAGCTAATCACACCGAGAGGTTTAACATGTTTCGATTCCCTTGTTGCACACAACAGTTGTTCTTGTGATTATTGTTCACATGTATTTATTGATCAGCCTTTTCTTCGCGCAAAATTGCGATTCTCCGATGATTCATGGTTATCAATTGTTTTGATTTCAGCAAGAATGGGCGACATGGATGACCTATTGGATCAAATGGAGTCTGATCTGATAAAAACAACTCAAACAAATCAACCGCCTCCACTTCTACCTCCAACATCAATAGCAATGCAGCCACGCGGTCTTCGTCAAAATCCGGCACCTAAAAGCGTTGTGACGGTTTCGAAATTCGTGATCAGTGACGACATGAATAAGCATATGGAGGTAAGTGTTTTCCAAAACTCCAAGTTAGAAACTTCAATAATTTTCAGGGTCATGTAAGCATTGATTCCTCTTTGTTGCCGAACACATTTCAGTCTAAGCCTATTTCTCAACTCAGAGATGATGAAATTGTGCCAAAAAAAGAAAACATTCTTTTTTCTTTAGTCAGTGGAAACCAGAAGATCGAAGATCTTCGCGAAGATTGCGTTGTAGAAAAAAATGAAGTAGCTGACAAAGTAGAAGCCTGCACGACAGAAGTATTATCGCATGTAGAAGTTCAAGAAATTATTGAGACAAAATCACATACTGAAGTTCAGCAGGAAGAAGATGCAGTATCGGAAGTTGAAGAGGTTTGTGTGTATTTGATGTTTTTGCTGAAAAAATCAATATTTTTCCAGGAAACGCTTATTCCGGAAACTCAAGTAATTTCCAATTTGAATGCAACTGCTCGAGAAGCTGTTCCCCTCACTTCCCAAATTCAAGTAACACCTCGAAAGATAGAGCTTGATACTGAAATGGAATCCATGTTAGACCATTTGAATGGCGTGGAAGATGAAAGCGATCAGAACCGAAGTCTTTCTGAACCAGAAACACAAAACAATGACACATCTACAAGAAAAGCCGGAGGGCGTGATTTCAGTGACGAATCCAGCGATGAATCAATCCTCTTTCAGTATGCTGATAAGATTTCAGAAGAAGTGATGACTGCCGCTTTGGGCACTCGAAAGTTGCATTATGATCCGGCAGTACAAGAATTTTATCATGCGAATGACTCCATACCAGATGTGTTTGCCATGAGTTTTGCTAGTACGACATCACGCAAATCGGAATTGAACAATGACACTTCTAACCAGTTGTCTGGAACTGAAAACAAACAGAAGCTACCTTCAGTTGTCGAGCAAGTCGAGCAAGCCGAGGAATCAGAAAAAGAAAACGAACCAGATGAACAACAGGACAACTCGGAATCTGACTGCTCTTTAAAACACGACAAGGAGGACAGTTCACCGCAGAACGTAGAATCGGAAACAGTACACATGACATCGTTAGAACAGTATCCAGAAGTATCTTTACTCACAGATGTTATTTCGGTGGAAGAAGAAATCGCAGCTTCGGATATCAGTGGGGACTGTTCTATGGATTCAAAAGACACAGAGCAACCTGTGGTAGAACAACCTTCTATTAACGATAGTGAGGATAATATTGCTACTGAAGCAAATACTCCAGTTGTGGAGAAAAACTCTGAAGAAAAGGTCACAAGTGAAACTGTTGATTCGATGCCTTCTGATGACGATGAAAGCGTATGTTTAATTTCTTGCATTTCGTATTTAATTATGATTGGCTTTAATTTTTCAGGCACCGGAAACTGTCGTTGAAGCAGTGGGATTTAAAGCCCCAACAACAGATGAAGAAGAAAATCGAGAAGACGCTGATTCTATAGTGGAAAGTGTATCTAACGACAGCCAAGATTCACTTGTTGGAACTACTGAAGACGAAACTGAAAATAGGCCGAGATTCGATGTGAGTGTTTTGAAAAAACTGACACCAGGCATAGTTCAACTTTTCAGTCTTCAATAGCCACTGTTCACGTTCTGCACGAATCAGATTCTGATGAGAGTCAACCTCGCCGGGAAAGAAGGCTAACTGAATCCGAACTTCAACTTGGAAAAACTTCTCCTTATTGGATTCCTGACTCAGAGTGTCAAAACTGTATGCTTTGCAATGTCAAGTCAGTTGTAGTGCTTGTCGAAAACCCAGATAGAAATTTTTAGATTCACAATCATTACGCGCCGCCATCATTGCCGTGCATGTGGTCGAGTTCTATGTGGATCATGCTGTTCGGAAAAGTCGGTTCTCGACTACTTGAAAGAAGATGGAAAGAAGCCACAAGCAGTTCGAGTATGTAAGCCATGCTCCACGATGCTATCAAGGATTGAATCCCACGAAGAGGAGGAGAGACGTCGACTGACAGATGCTCACGACAGATCGTACAACGAAGAAGATACATCTACTTCAACGACTCCACACGCCACAACAGTGCCGCGAGGGGTTCTCAAAGCACGTTCAATGACACAGACTAACGAAGAAGAAGGCCCCTCAACGAGCAGTCAAGTCCCTTCATCATCTTCGAACGTGTCAGAATCAGCAAAACGATCGGTAGTATTTCGTGATGGAGTTCGGCCAGGTGCTCCAGCAGATGAACAAAATCCAGAAGAAGAACGATCCACTGCACTGAAACCAAAAAAGGTTGGAGAGTTATTTCAATGAAAAAAATCAATTCAAAAAATATTTGTTTTTTTAGAAGTCCAGAAAGCGCACAGCGGTGGTTCGAAGAATTGCAGAATTGAAAATGGAAGATGAATTGGCATGTGCTTTGCCGAAAGAAGGTGTCACAAAACTCCTTATTGTGAAACCGGATTCGGAGCAACCAAAATTCGAAGACGCATCTGTGATTCTAGAAGCTCTTTGTGACTTCACTGTCGTAACAGTTGTGTTGAAGAAGAATCTAAACTGCACAATGCAAATTTTCAACAGTGAGCTTTACATTTTGTCTGTTTTTCATCATATCCAGCTGTTTCAGACCCAAATTTCGGGTTGGTATGGGCGGTGTCATCACAAGGATTCGCTCAAATCGGTCTCGATGAATTATTCTTCTCGTGGACACTAAGTGATAGTGAAAAACAAAACATGGATTCAGAAGAGCCAGAGCTAGATGAGAAAACCGCCCTTTCGTTAATTCCACTCGTGGTCCTTCATCGTATATCAATGGTAAGCGAAAGATCCCGTTAACCATCTCACCAATAGTTATATTTCAGATTTACTGTCAATCCACCGAGCATGAATACGCCGGCGTACGGCGTGTGGATAGCCGGCTCATGCGTATTCACACTGTTACGGAATCGGTCACTCCTCTCCCAAAGCATGTGATGTTCTTCCGTCCGACCGTTCAATCGGGTCTCGAAAACATGCGAATCCCTACAAATCCATTCCTTATTGCCTGCTTCCTACATGACGATGAACTGAGCTGGGCTACTGCTCTTCCGAATCGTCTTTTGTATAAACTCGGAGAGAAATACAACGGTTTGTAAAAAAATACACTGCACAATGCAAACATTGTTTTCAGTATTCCCTACTCCTTTTGTGAATTTTGTCAATAGACCTGCCCTCTACAGTACTGATGCCTCTGGTACAGTTCTCAAAGTTTTCACCGACTTCCGATCTTGGTCATACAGAATGCGTCATATTCCCGGTTGCACAGTTTCACTGACAAACGAGAAAACTATCATTCGAATTCCAAAGTCGTGCATGAAAGAAGTAAGATATTATGCTTTTTGGTTATTTTTTCTTCAATTCAAATTTCAGCTGAAAGAGATTATCACCTTCAGCCGATCAATGGTTGCGTGGAGCTGTGATATGAATCAAGATGACGATAGTGTTCTTGTGAGTGCCACACTGAAACAAAAAACAAACATTTAAAAAACTGAATTAAGGTTTGCGAAGAGACTGATCCAGGACTCTACTCTACACAAGTCTTCGCCAAATACATGGGACAAAGAGAATGTAAGCGAGCTTTCCAGGAAAAAAAAAATCCTAATCAGACATTTTTCAGCTACAAGTGCATCATTTTTGATTTTGGATGGTGGTTCCAAAGTGAATTCTCTTCAAGTGAACGTAGTGGAAGACGGTGTGGCTATTCGACTACAGAGTGAACGTCTCGAAGTCATTCTCAACGCAATCAATGAGGGAAATGATGTTATGGAATCTTCGAAAGATATGGAGTTCCGCGTCGAGTTTGTAGAAGATGGAGACTGGATTGTTCCGGAGAACGAGTTTTATCCAAAATCACAGATCGATGGACTGGTCTTGATTGTACGCATAGTTGTGTACGACGTTGCCTAACCTAATACATTTCAGAACAAATTCCAGTATGGATTGTCGCTGGAAAGAGCGCTCACTCAGGTTTTACAAGTTCAAGGAATCAGTGAATACGGTATCCGAATGTCACATGTATATAATCTCGGTGACGGGCGACTTCAGCCTGAAGAAGAGCCGAAAATTTATGGGTAACCGGTTCGAATTTCATTTTAATGTCTTATAATAATAATTTCAGATTGGTCGAGATTGCTGCTAAAGAGTGCGTGGCGATGCTGGAACCTCATATTCTGTTTTTGATTCATGCAGGAATACAGTGAGCTGAATTACTGATTTACTAGAAATAATTATGATGTACTTCAGAAGTGTTTCAATCCGATTGTTCGTTTCTCCATATGAATTCGAGTACGACGTCTCGAAGTGGATTGGTCTGGAGGCAGAAAACGATAAATACAAACAAAGTCTCGATCAGGTAAAAACATGATTTTCATTCTATTTAGCTGTACATCATCCACTTTTTCAGCTTATTCCAATGCTGTACAATATGGTGCAATATGTTCCGAATGGATTTGAAGTCGAGTTCGTTCTCTCAATTGTATCAACCAGAGCCCTACCAATTTAATTTATTTTTTCTTGTCTTTTCCTAGTTACCATACTTCCTCTAATAGAACATCACCTGCACTTTGAGCTCAATTATCTTGATTCTTTTGAGAGATATCAGGAAAAGTAAATTTGAATATGGTTTCGATGATGTTTTTCACAAAAATCGAGGTCATAGATGTCACAGTGAAAGCGAAGTGTTTTATTAGATCAACTACCATACTCTGTTCATTTCCAATTTTCGTGATCCCCCCCCCCCCAGTTCGATTATCGTGTAATATTTACCACCTGTGATATATACCAACTTCTTGTAGTCAAAATCACTTTTCCCTCCCCATCCCATCCCACTTCTAACACATTTCACTACTAATCACCCATACTTTCCTGTAAATTACTAGATCACACCGTGATTAGATGCGGAGTCTACTTGTACCCTGTAACAAACGTATCCATAATGGGTTCGCTCCTAAATTCAGTTTTTTCCTCTCACTCAATCCCCCTATCAAAATTTCAATGTATCGCATAATGGAGAGAATAAAAAAGGAGCAAAAAACGCTTATCTAAAAAAAAGACTTGCTCTTTTTCACTGAGTTCCTCCTGAAAAAGTGCGGATGATTAGATTCAATTTCCCTTCCGCAACCCTCTTCTCACTTCTAAATCGATGTTTCGCGGGCCTATTGAATTTATCGGTGAAAGACTTGAGGAAACGGACAATTTCGTAGACCGATGTTCTTCTTCTGCCACGTCATTTTGCTCCAGAACTACAAAGTTTCAATGATATCTATTGACGTCCATGAACCCCTTGAGATGGTCTTGGTCTTTTGGATGTGCCCCCAACATTACAAATTTATAGAGGTATATTCTTCATTTTTTCGGCTCTTTTTCTTTTCTTTTTTTTTCTCTTTTACAAACGACCACTACTCCTAATAATATGAAAAGAACAGTTCATGTCTGAAAAAGATTAGATTTCGAAAATTGAATGACGAGCGGGAAGTTTGCAGGTGTCCCGTTTTGATTCATGGAAACGATGATGTGTGTGAATTCGAAAAAAATGAATCTGAAATTATTAAAAATAGGAGAAAAACAGACAGAGGTGAGAAAAAAGGAAAGAAGGAAGTGAAAAAACTCCATTTGATAACTTCCATTCGTGGGTGTTAGATGTCTGAAGATCACCAGGATGGATACATTTTGAATGAAGTGAATTATCTAAAAAAGAAATAGAAGAAAATGTCGACATGATATCTTAAAATTAGTTTTTTTTTAAATTGGAACTTTCCAAAAGTAGGTGCGCCCATACTTGTAATCCGGGCCTTTGCCGGGCCTTCGCGGGCCCTGCCATAATTTCTTTCAGAATCTATATTTTCGAACCAACTAAATCAGATATGATAGAGCTCCACGAGTACTACAAAACGGTATCATTTGGAATACTGTATCTTATCTATGAACAAAGTTATGGGGTCATTCAGTGAGAAGCAATTCAGCAAATTGCTGGTTGATCTCGTCCTCCTCCTCGTGGAGTACACGACAAAAGTCGGAGCGAAACCCAACCGGGAAATTCGTTGCGCCTTTAATCTTGTGGCGATTTACAGTGAAATGTTCTTGTCGTGTACTCCACGAGGAGGAGGACGAGTTCACATGGCATAGAAAACTCCAGCAATCTCGCTTCCGCGGCCCCATCAAAATTGCTGGTTTTTCTGCTTTCTGCATAAGGAAAAAACCAGCAATTTGCTGAATTGCTTCTCACTGAATAACCCCATTACAGATCATAAAGTGGCTTTTCTCGCAGGGCCCGGCAGGCCCGGGGCGGGCCTCCTTTTTTTTGCTCCTTTTGCTCTGTAACTCTGTTCATAGACAAGATACAGTATTCCAAATAATACCGTTTTGTAGTACTCGTGGAGGATTACAAGTATGGGTGCGCTGACTACAGGCTTTCTACAGGAAGTACGACCAGCAATCCATATCAATCTGACCTATAACCATTTATCTAAAAAAAATCTTCATCGTACTTTCCCTTTTTTATTTAGCGTTCCCAACTTACCGTAAACACTCTAAAAGAAGGCCACCCAAACTTTGAGCTCATTTATCTCAGTTTCTGTACGAGATATTAAAAAGTGGTTATCTAACAAAATGTTTATCATGATATCAAAAATATTTTGTCATTTGAACACTTTTTGATAACTTTCACAAAAGCCGAGATATACCGTAAAATCTGTAATAGAAGGTCCCTCCTAGGATTTTGAGCTTGACTCTCAGATAGCATATTTTATTCTGCCATACCTAAACTAATATAAATCACAAAGCTAGGAAACATAAATTTCCTTGTTCAAATTATTCTAACGTCATCGGCTTCTGGGTAATTACAATGCTATTTGAGAAGTTGACAAAGTATGTGCATTATCATTTACCTTTGTCCATGTACTTTGATTCATTTATAGAACTTCCTCCTCGTCTGAAATTCCAATTGTTTTCCGGAAATCATGGTCTAATTCCGAAACGATTACTTGTCGTAATCCCTGCTTCTTGTTCTCCGTTTCAGACATTCTCTTCTTCTTTTCTTTTCTTTTTGTTTGCCCTTTCTACTCGTCATCTTTTCTTATTTTTACCCTTCACAAAAGTTCTTTCTTCCGAAATTCATTAAATCCTCTCATGCCCGTATAGCTCAGTTGGTGGTCAGTATAGAAAAAAAGAAGAAAAAGAAATACTGGAATAGAGCAATCCATTTTATGTCTTCTTGTTTTCTTTGGAGGCAAAAAATCATTTTGAATTACAAAAGAGCTTCTTCCGAGTAATCAGGAAAAAAAACCAAGAAAGCACCTGATCAATGGGATATTTTCAGACGCCTTCTGAGCATTCATATCGACTTCGGATTCCACTTACTCCTTTTATTTTGTTATTGCTCATTTCTTTTTTTGCAGTTCGAGCCCACACACATTACGGGATTCAATTTATTCAATTTCCGGTGTCCGGAGACCGTCGAGGTGTTATCTTTTTGATGGGAACGGAACTACTTGTTTTTAAGGAAAAGAAAAAAAACTATTTTGATACTCCCACATGTTTTCAGATTTCTTCCAACTGTCAAGTCGATTAATAACTCATTGCAGGTGAAATGATCAAAAATCACATGAGAAAGAGAGAAATTTGTGTTATGAATATACAAGTTGCTATAGTCCATGAATGATCCAAGCTATTAGAAAAGCCAAAGGTCCTAACTTTTTGGGGGTACGACGAATTCGAA